TGAGATGGGGGAAAAAAATGTACAAAATGATGTAAAAATAAACTGTTATAATTAAAAAAGAATTTTTTTTCAAGTATAAAGCTTGTCTTCAAAGTGTCCTGGATCACAACATGCTGTACACTTTGGAGGAAAGGCCACCTCCAAAGAGAGAGACATATTTTACAGGAGAATTGCAAGGTTTACCTGTCCACAAGAATCTGATTGGCTTTCTTCCACTCTTCAACTGCAGAAATTTCTTTAGTCTCCAACTTTTGTTTCAAACTATTTATTTCTGATTCATAATAAGCACGAAGATCTGCTACGTGTCGCGCATGCTTTTCCTTGAGGTTCTGTCTAATCCTTTGGCAAGAGAGGAAAATATCATTAGGAAAATACACGTTCACACTCTGTCCCATAAGAGAAATTGAGAACACAATCATCATCAAAGCAAAAACATAGTTTTTCTTTGCACACCCACAGAAAATATATTAATACAAAAGTTGACAATAGTAAAATGAAAATATAAAGACGTCATTTTTAGGTGCTCTATCTATAGCTGTTTTTTTTATTGAAGATTTTCTACATTACTGAAGTTCAAAAAACACCATTTGCATCATTTAAATAGACATCATAGAAAAGTTATTAAAATTTACAAGCCAGTCACTGAAATACATACTTAGACATTATGACAGGATCTTCCAGGGAAGTCAATGAAACGAATTCTGGGGCACTGTTGGCTGTACCTGGAAGCTGGGACTGACCTACTGAGGCTGCAGTTACCATGACAGTGTCTCCTTCTTCCATGGTGTTGACCAAGATGTCACTACCAGTGATGGTGTACGCAGAAGGAAATGGGGAACTGGTCCTGCTTTCGTTTTGGAACCCAAGAGTTTTCCAGGAGTCCGCTGGCAAAGCTTTTGAATTTGAATATTTTGGGAATCCAGGTAACTGAGAAGTGATGTTAGTTGCTTGTGAAAATGAGTCTATATCAGAGTGGCTAGACAAGCTAGGCTCTAGAACAGAGTCTGGTGAGAAGGCTGTCCTGGCATCAAGAGCATCCCTGAAGTCTGGGGGCTCAGTTCCCGCCCCCCGCTGCTGTGGCTTCATGTGTATCATTGGGTCCAAAGTTAGTACCTGGAAGTGAGACGGACAACAGGAAGGTTCCCTTTTCAGTTCGGCTTTGGTTTGCTTGCTTTTAAGCAAATAGGCTTTAGATCTGCTGGGGCAAATAAAATTTAAGGTAAAAGTTAGAGTCACAAAATGCCTTCATTTCACTGAGCAGTTCTGCCAACTTTACCTCTGGTGGATGATTTGGGTTGGAAGAAGTGAGAGTCCTCTCAGGGAACTGCTTGTTTTCCCTTTGTTTTTTATGATAAATTTCCTTCAGGGATGGTAGCGTCATCTCATTACCAGTATTAAACTTAAAGATATGAAACAAAATTGTTTAAATGGTATCAACAATAATAAAAGTTAACTGATATTAAGATCAGCACCATAAAAAAAATTTTTAGGGCCCTCCCTGGTGGTGCAGTGGGTTAAAGCACAGCACTAAGAAGCTAAAGCCACTTTAGCATGAGTTGGATCCCCACCCACCCAGGAGGTGACCCACATGGTGCAGCAGACCTCTCCTGACCTTCCCGCTGCTCCCCTCAGCAATGCACTTCATCAACCTCATCAACCTGCCTGCTCTGCTCCCCGCTATGTCTCTGGTGAATCCTCTCACCACCCCCTGCATCTCTGGCCTGTACCCCAGTTCTGTATGAATAAATTTAAAAAATCTTTAAAAATCTATATATTTTTAAAAGGTTTTAAATACACTGACAATCTAGACTATCAAATTTATAACACAGGTTTGAGAATCAGTCGCTATTACAAGTCTCCCTCATAATGAAACTTTTTCATCTCTCCAATCAATAATTCGGGGAGCAATTTAAACCTAAGTTATTCAGCAGCCCATGAGAACTCCCAAAGGATAAAATCTTTGGTCACTCCTTACTCAGAATAAAAAACTAGGGTTGAAGTAAGAAGAGACTGTAATAAATATCTGAAGCTGAATGAGAATTTCTGGCCAGATTAACTTCACACAACTCAAGGGGACACCTGGTAGAACCTCTTGTCAGTAATGTTTAGTGTGTACATATATGTCTGCTTTTTTTCCCCAAAGATTAGGCAGACAAAAAATGTGTTAGGATGTTACCCAATGAAAATAAACCCCATTTTTAAGGAGTAAGAGAAGATCTGACCCTCATTTCTGCACCTTGAACTAAGGGCTTTGCCACCTTGGAGGGTTCCAAAGAGCTCTGAGCTCCAAAGGTTAAACCTTGGGTATAAATTATCCCAGGCGGGACCCATGCAGGGTGTGGTGCACTGTTTAACCCTGGGCCTTGCGCTAACTCTCTCAAACGAGATCACAGATGGAGACAACACATTTACTCATAGCTCTGAACTTCAGTCTCATCTCTAGGACCTACCAGAGTACCATAAATTAATATTTTTTAATAAAGCTTATAATTGTGAATAAGATAACTATACTTTCATTGTGAAGAGTAAAAGCATTAATTTGTTAAATGTAAACTCTTCAAATTTACCAGTTTCTGTAATCTTACATTTCATAGGCCAACTACCTAAAGTCCCTTCGAAGCTTTGCAGCTTTTGGCAGCCAAGGAACCCTGCTGCTGGCTGGATGGGAGGTCAGGGCTACCCCCACTTAGAGCTCAATGTAGTGCCAGGACCCTTCCTCACTGCTTTATGACCTCCTTTGTTTTCATATAAGTGAGGAAACATTCATCTCTAAAGTGGGGGTGCCTCTTGTAATCAGTAGCATCTCACAACTTCCTTCATTCAAAAGGCAGTTGTGACATAATCTTTATTGCCTGCTCATAAGCAAACATCAAAGCCATGAAAATTGGCCAAGCAGTGTCAGCAGCTTGGAAGGAAAGTCCAGAGAGAACACCACTAGCCCCAAAAACCAGTCCGGGACAACACCTCAGTCACGCTCAGTAGCAGTCCCCACCAGAGTAGTAAGAGCAGGTTACTCCTGAGTGGCTTTGTCAACAAAGCCAAGACCTTCACCCCTTTTCAAAGAAATGCCCTATTATCAAATTTTTAGTGGCCCAGAAGAAGACAGCTGTAGGAAAACACAGAGACCAATAGTGCAGAGAGAGGAAAGTTAGTCCCTGACATGAAGCTCTGACATAACTGCTTCACTCGTATATCCCTTTTATATGTGAGTTCTGTAATGACAATGTAGTCTACAGCTTACTGTGTAAGTATAAAACATAAACTCTAAGTGGTAAGGAGGCAACGTATCAGCCTAACTGATCATTTTTTTTTTCTTGGTGGAGTATGAAGCATGAAGCCTTAAAACTGACGGCATTCCAAACTAGTACAACCACTATGGAAAACTGCTTGGAGGTTCCTCAAACTGCTAAACATGGAGCTTCCCTACGACCCAGCAATCCCACTCCTAGGTA